AATTAATCCGCAAAACCAATTTCATTGGCGGGATACACCAAATTTCACGTTAGCCAAATATTTTAAATAAAATTTGAGGGGGAAAATAAACATTTGAGAGGGAAAATGAATTATTTTTTTTTTTTTTTTTATGATTTTTTCTTAAATGTATTATATAGTGATAGATTATTATGTTTAAGTATCATTCCTATTGTAGACGTGGTTTATAAGGTTTATTTTTTTTTCAATATTTCTTTTTTCTTCACAATTCTCTATAAATTATAACAAATTTATTAATTTAAAGTATATATTTAAATGTTTATAATTTTTTTATTCAATAACAATTTTTTATATAATATCAAATTAATCATGTCTTGATGAGCTTCGATTTGACATCTATATTATACATACAAAATAATAAATAAGTTTATTTATATTTATAATTAAAATTAAATTATATTTTAATATTAATTCGAAAAATAGTTATTTATACTAACTTAACTAAAAATTAGTTATCTCATATAAATTAAAGAAAATATATAATATAATATGGTAAGTTTTGTAAGTGACGATGTCATTATAATTTAGATAATAATATATTAAAATATATTCAAAACTAAAATAATTTTTTTATTATTATTTAATTTTAAAAATAATTTTCTAAACAAGTACCCGTGTAGTACACGGGTATTGCACTAGTGTTTAATATATACAGACGTTACATATGAATTAATCAAAATAAAGTTATAGAATCTAAATTATATTAAATTAAGTTGATGAATATAAATTTATAATAAACTAAATTTATTAAAATTAAATGAAGATAAAAAAATTTAAATAACATATAAATAATTATAAAAAACTATATTCATTGTATTTTAAATTATTTTATTCTATTTTTATTTTTTATTATTTATTTTAATTTATACTACTCTATATTATTCTGTTGCATTGTTTATTTTGTTGTATTTTATTTTATCTTTGTTAACAAACTTTGTTTATTTGTTTAACTTAAGACAAGGTAATAAAATAAAAGAAAAAGTAATATTAAAATGATATGATAATTAATATTTTTTAGTTTACTTATATTCATTTAAGCATTTTTTTATTTTATTCTATTATTTCATAATAAGTTATTTTCGTTATTATTTTATTTTATTTAACGTTTTTTATACTTTATTATGTTATATTATATAATATTATTTTAATTTTAATTTAATTATTTTACTTTATTTTTTATTTTAATTTTATTATTATTATTTTAAATTTTCAATATATAATAAATTTTAATTCATGCTACTATATTACATTTATCTTACTTTATTTTATTTTTTTTATTAATTTATTTAATTTAATTTATTGAAAGTTATAATAATTATTATTTAATTTATATTAAATTTATCTATTATACTTTTATTTTATTTACTTTGTTAGTTATTTATTTACATTGATTTGTTATTATCGAAAAATCTATGGAGCCATCGGATGGTTTTCTTATGGAGCCACCCACCACTTAATGTATTGACGTTTGTCCAAATTGTATTTATTGCAGGACACTAATCAATACACTATTGGTGAATAAGTGTGTATGGCTTCATAAGCCGAGCCATCCGATGACTCCATAGCAAAACTGATTATATTATATGATAAATATAGTTGTGTTCAACGATCTACATAAGCATCACTGTGGCCCGAAGTATCTATGTGGAAGGTTGATTGGCCATGTTGATTCCTTTGCAACCCAGTTTGTAATTTTACATTCCGAAGAGTATAAAAGTAAATTAGTAGTTCTGCAAAATAAAAGTTGTATAATTTTTGCAGCTATAAGAGGTGTGTTACATGCGCTATTAAGTTTGACGGAATGGAAAACCATGCACTGATTACTTAAATATAAGAGTTTTATTGCAGTTTTTTAAACGCCAGAGATCGTATAATACAGTAGTGCATGTGGTTACATACATTTTACCCTTTTTAAGAACCCTACATTTTTTATCCAAGTTGAGGCAGCTAGAAAGAAAACTTGGCGAAATCTTCAACAATTCATGAAGAGAGCTACTCTTTTTTCGCATCGCCACATTTGGGTCGTTGGCTTGTACGGTCCAATGGGTTAATATCTGCTCGTTGACGGCGAAGGATTCGAGGCAGGCCGTAAAGAGGGAAATTTTCATCTTTCCTACAAGATATGAAAAATATTGCAACAATACCACCCCTATTAAATTAATTGTATATTTACATAAGAGATAAAATTAACTACATTAATACCTAATTTAGTTACCATATCAATTCAACTTCCCCTCCTTATTTTTTGGGCGTGATTTGCGTCCGTTTACAAAAAAAAAAAACCCTCCTTTTCAGTGTCTTTATTTGAGCGAAATAATAAACATCCCAGCAAAATAATTTGAGTATATTTTCAGTGTATATTGTGTTTATAATCATTATATTTCAGTATATTTTCAGTATATATTTGCGTTTATAATCATTATATTTCAGTATATTTTCAGTGTATGTTTGCGTTTATAATGTTTTCAGTATATTTGCAGTGTATGTTTGCATTTAAAGTATCGAAAATGAAACAACATAAACTGACTATATATCAAATAAACTATAAATATACATTAAATAAACATTGAAAAACAGTATATTTCAGTATATTTTCAGTATATTTGCAGTGTATGTTAATCAAATATTTTCAGTGTATGTTATCGGTCAAAAAAAGTTTGAGCCATATTTGAGCGAGAAGTTTGAGCGAAATAATAAACATCCCAGCAAATAATTTGACCCTAAAAATCTGCACCAAATAATTTGAAACTAAAAAGCTTTTTTTGGTGCGGATGTTTGAGCGAGATGCATCTCTCGTCGCGGATGTTTTGAGCGAGACGGAGGCGGATGCGGCGGCGGAAGGGGGATTGGAGGAGGTGGCTGACTTGTGTGAAGGGAGATTGGAGGAGTCGACTGATTTAGTCGAAACGACGGGATCGATTGATGCTATTCGTCTTGGAGGGGGGATCGAAGGAGTCGACTGCTTCGATTGATGCTATTGGCGCGGACGGTGAGGTGGTGGTGGCGCCGACGGTGGAGGGACTTGTGTGAAGAAAAGAGGGAGAGGGTCGTGTGTGAAGAAGAGAGAGAGAGGGATAGGAGAGAGACGTAGTTGATGGGAAATTACCATTTAATAGGAAATCAGTTGATGGAAAGTTACCATGTAAATAGGAAATCATCTTTTTAGGCATATGTGCAAATAAAATTAACAAAATTAGCTAATTCACAAATAATTACATGGGAGATGTAATTATATAATATTTTCAATTTGTTTAAGTGGAGAGTGTAAATTCCTCTAAAAAGATAAACCAATCGTTTATGCCGTAAGCTCTTTCCATTCACGGTTCAATTGCTTCTTTGGGAATTATGTCAGCTCCTTAAGAATTCCCATGGCTGCAGGTTGAGGATAAATGGTTTTGGTAAGATGGTTTAGATCCCTAATTCCTTTCCTTAATTTTGAGAGAAGAGCCCAATTTTCAATGGAACAAAAAAAAAAAATGCAAAGTTATTTATTTTACATTGGGTTGTCACAGGGGGATCTAGCAAAAAGAATGAGTGGGGGCCTAATGATACCAAAATTTCCTCGTATCTATTTGGATTCAAAGTATCTCATTTTGAGACATTTTTATAAACACTTGGATGACGAAGCATTTTTTTTAAATCTCTCTCCATATCTGATATACAAATAATATTATAAATTCACAATCAATTGAAATTCTCAATTTTGACATATGACACTTATAAAAAGCTATAAGCACATTAGGGATTGAATTTACAATTTCTACATAAATAGAATAATTTATCATTACCTAAAAAAAAAAAAAAATACCTCCACCAAAATAAACATGAAGAGATTTTGTTACCTCGCAAGTCGCATTTTGAATAATTGAACCAAAAATTGATAAGTCCTTGCGGCTTGCCCAGGCACTCTTATGTTGATAAATGTAGTTTCAAATTTTTTGTTAAACTAAAAGGCAAGATTCTCTTTACTAAATTTATGTTGAGTTAAATTTATTGTTAAATTGGGATTCTTTGTATATGGGCTGATAGTTAGAATTTTTTTTATGGGCCCATAATTAAGACTTTTCTTTCATGGGCTCATAATTAGTATTATGAACTAACTAGTGCGTACCCCGTGCGATGCACGGGAACAATATTAAATTAACAATATTATAAATAGACCTCGAGTTTGAGTCAATGGCGGAAGTGAAAACTACTATTGATCGTATTTAAAAAGAGGAAGAAAAAAAATAATTATAAATAAAAGAGGAGGATAGACAATACTTAATAATTATAAATTAAAGATTCGAGTGTCAAACAATGTAAAATGATTTTGTATAAGAGAATATAAAAAATTTGATTACACACCATTTCAAAATTATTATTATACTTTTTTGTATGGTTAGCTTAGAATATTTGTAAAAATATTAGTAATTAGACCGATGAAAATTAGCTTCTTAAAGTAGATAATGGATTTCTAGTAGTAATTATAAATTAGTTTCTATTTTATTTTATTTTTTCTTTTTAAAGATAATGGATCTCTAGTAGTAATTATGAATTTATCTCTATTTTATTTTATTTTTTCAAATTTTGTATAGATAAGAGATGAGATTTTTTAAACACCTAAGATCGTATGCAATAAGATTTTGTAACAGAAGAGATAAGCTCGTGTAGATTTATACTAAAAATAGGAAAATAAAAAACAAATATTTATTGTTAAAACGATAAACTAAGAAACAGGAAAAAGAGAAACAATTTTTTACACAATTAATGAGCGGATTTTTTTGCCTATTCAGATTTGTGCAACAATTACTATATATAGGATATATTTAATGATTTTAGCGGGAAAAAGTTTCTAAATTTGTAAAATGATTATTCTTTTTATATAATGATAAATGGCTATACATAGGGTTTTTTTTTTCTCTCTTCCTAATATGAATCCGCCCTTACCTTTTGTTTTATGAACCAAACAACATTGTGAGCTTTATTAGATCCTTGTTAGTGATGTGTTTTATATCCATTTTTGGGAATTAATCACGTCAATTCAAGAAAATCAACCAAACACATTCTAAGCAATAGCCATACACGCTACAATTTTAGCAAAATGGTTATTTTAAGCACTCGGAAACTCGTTTCATAATAGGTCACCATAATGGTACAAAACACATGGTGTAGTAATAATAATATCCCTGCAGTGGCTGGCTGATCAACTCATTTCAACTAAGCAACAAAAAACCCGACGAAAAATCCCATATTTGCGGAAAAGCCTCCAAAACGAGTCCAGGCTGTTCAATAATCACGCACACTAAAACCATGCGTAGAAATTAAATTACCACACGTTGCCAACTCCTCAAGCCTTGATGGGAAAAACCCGGACTTTATCGAGCACTGGGCCACACAATCCCCCAAAATCATGCACCTTGGTGTGGTAGAAAGAGCTATAGAAAGTCAACCTCGTGCGGGCCGAGATAGCCTTGAACACAAACGAGTAGGCCCGTGACTCACCTTTCCCATTGGACTGGAAAGGGGCCTTGAGGGTGTCTTTGGCGGCAAAAGCCTCGACCAACATTGAGCCGTGGCACCCATTCTTGGCGTCACCCACAATGAAGGTGAGATTGTAGGGCTTGTTTGGCACGGTGCGAATAACTTGGGCAATGGCGCTCTCTCTCCCGGCCACGAGCTCCACGGCAGCTTTTCCAGAGGGGACGTTGAAATTTGCGGAGTCGATGAATTTGACGGCCTTGAGAGACTCGATTATCCACCCTGGGAGGGGGGAGTTCAAGTCCTTTTGCTTTGGTGGGAGGAGGATGCCGTTGACCGAGTTGTTGAGAAGGTGTGGGCCCTCCTCGAAATCTCCATTCTTGACTAGGTTGTCTTGAGAGAGAGAGAGAGAGAAGTTAGGAAAGAAAATTGCTTGCTTTGACATATATGGACTTTGCCATGTAGGAAGTAAGTGATTTTCAAATGATTGGGATGATAAGAAAAATAAGATTACAATCTACACCACATGCATTGGGTTGTATGTTATGAATTACTGTATAATATTAGTAGTACAAACTTGACAGACATACTACAGATCTCGGAATGGAGTTTTGAGTAAATCAATGAGTCACAAGTTAAAGCCATGTTCCTGGGAATACGCAAAAAAAGTGAGGCANTATGGTGTATAAAAAAAAAAAAAATCAATCACAACTCAAATTTAGTTCAACTTTAATTCAACCTCTGTACCTTTAATATTATTAATACAATAAAATAATATCAACCAATCATTCTTGCACACATCATATCCCTCCTTAATATAATTTGAAAACGTGTTGAGCCAACATGGCTGGCTCGCACTCTTCGGAAGCTTACTTGGCAGCATTACATGCTTCGGCTTTTGGGTCGGATAAAATATACAATTATATTCCAAAATAAATAAGACTCCAACTCCAAATAGGATTCATATTCTTATCTCTTCCAAATAGGATTTTTATTCTTATCATAGTTTATTTTAATTCCGTGTTTCAAATGTTAAGAATCCTATTATGCCCAATGATCCTTCCTTTCTTTCTCCCGTCATCACAATCCTTAATTCTTCCTTTTTCATAACATGCAGATAGTTGTTTTTGAGCTTAATTCTTATGTCTGTTTCTCAGTAGGCTGATGATTGCTTGAAGTTAAGATTATTTATCCAAAAATGGCAGCGGAAGTGGGATCTCAGCAACCCAGTTTCTACACAAATTGTGAGTTTTTTTTTTTTTATTTGGGTTCAAAATTATATTTGATCTATTCGTACTCGCTTTGAGTTCTTTCTTATGGACGGTAGGTTGGGAGAGTATTTGTAGAGAAATACTATTTCGTTCTGCATAGCTCACCGGAGTTGGCTCATAAATTCTATCAAGACAAGAGTACCATCCACCGTGTCAAGGAGGATGGCTCCATGAGTGTCACCAAAACCTGTCAAGTAAACTACCATTTTCCTTTTCCTTATTATTCCTAGGGCTGTTTATTCTGTAGTGTTTAACGTACATTTGGAAGGTTACAATACATGAAGGAAGGAGAGAATTGATGGAACAATCATATTTTTTACTTTTGGTATTTCCTCTTGAAAGTTTTACATTTATTTCCACTTTTTTGGATGATGTTAATGATTTAATGTTCAGGAGGTGTTATCTGATTTGAATTAGAACATCGAGCTTGGATGGCTCTTTTTTAATTTAAATTCTTTTTTCCGTGTTGTTGATGTGACTTAACCATGAAGGCCATCAAAGAGAAGATGTCTCGCTCAACTATGGGGACTTAAGAGTTGAGATCAAGTCGATCGATTCATTGGAGTCTTTTGAAGGTAAGGTTGATGTTATTTCTCATAGCCTCTTCATCTCAATTATTCATCTGACAAAAAATTGACCATGACAATTGTTTTAAACACAATTAAGCGTATATGGTTCAAACATGACAAGAATCAACCTGAAAATCGTGTTGCAATGGAGATTTGTGTCTTAGACGGAAAGGTACACAGTGGTTTCAATTCAACACCTTATCCTTCGTATGCCCCTTCTGATTATTATCATATGAGCTATAGGTATTATAATTCGAGTTATTTTATTACATCAATTATTGTCAGTATATATATATATATNTATATAAATTGTTATTATTGCCTCTCCTTGAATTGTAATTTGTTTGTGTTAGTTCTGGCCATATCAACAATGCATTTTATCATCTGCGTTATGTTTAAGAAATTTCTAGAAAATCCTTAATTTGGCATGTCTGGTTATGCGGATAGAATTAGATTTGTTTTCCCCTGTAGATATACAAGATGATCAAATAATCAACAGTCAATTTCCTTTCCACTAATCCAACAAGCCTGAAAAAATATATTTAAACACAAATACCCATGTAAATACACGGGTGTTGAATTAGGAAGTATATGTAAAAAATATTAATTTTTTTAAACAAAAATAGTTTAATTTTATATAAAACATTACTTTGGATTTAATTTAAATTGTCAAATTATATAGAGCCTGAATATTTTTGTTTTCTATTTTTGCACTTTTATATGACAACATGTATTTTTTCTATTATTTATTGTTTTATATTTTTTTTTCCAAACAACCCGTATAGTACACGGGTGTCGTACTAGTTAACTTTAATTAACTTTAATTTAGTGTTCATCTACTTAATCATCATTTCCAATCATTTTTCTTTACACCAAATCAACTTTAGTTTAAACTTAAATTTCACAAACAAATAAACAAATCACCTTTTTCAAAATTAACTATAGTTAAAAAAAGAAACAATCAAATCCATATCCAATCACACCCTTACTAGCAACTTGGTTAAGACTAAAAAAACATTTCAACATCATTTGATTTATGAAAAAATGGAGAAATTAAGCAAGAGCATTATGCAATAGGTGTAACTTTCTCCACAATTCAAGCAGATGAACAAATTTGTGATGAAAATGTAAAAAATATTAATGGAAAGAGGAAGATGATGAAACCTGGGGTGGACTTGGGTGGGAAAAGCTCCTTGATGGCAACGGCATCCAAAAGGGGCCCACAGGCAGGGTCTTCCTGCACGCCCGGGTTGTGGAAAGTGACGTTCACCGCATTCGAGGCCGCCCTGAAACCCCAGGCGTAGGTGTCCCCTCCGTCGCTGCTGTAGAGGGTCTGGAGGGGGAGATCCCCTGCCTGAGACCCCACCGTAATGCGGAGCACCTCATCCTGTGCGCAAGTCCTCGAGGCCCCGAACGTGAGTGCGTAGAGTGAGCCTGCGCGCACGAGGACTGTTTGCGAGATGGAGGCCTCGTTGCCCAGGCGGACCGCGTGGACCCCATGGCGCACGTGGAAGTACATGCCTCCGGGCTGGGGCCCGCCCGAGATGTACTCCACAAGGCCGTGTTTGGCCCACTTGGGAAGGGCGTGCGGGCCCACCAGCTTCGTCTTGTTAAGGTGTTTGGGGTTGGGTTGCTCTTCAAAGTTGCCATTTGGAAGTAGCCCTGCCCCAAGAAAAAAAAAAAAAAAAAAAANAATTGAGAGAATTTCGTAGAACAAATATGAGTATTATAGTGTTTACATTGTTTAGGGGCGGGGGAGTTGATCATTTTCTAAAGGCAACGGTTCAGATCTTCGGACAAACACAAAATAGGACCACAGATCTGGATACGAGGAATGTGAGAAATTCAGAAAGTGAGAGAAGCAAGTAGCAATCACGCATTCCTGAGTCGTATTAGAAAGAATAAAAAGAGTTGTATTTGAAGAAAAATGAACATATTAGAAAGAGGTACTAATGTAGATCTGTGCATTGTGAAGGGAATGTGACGAAGAAGAATGGATGAAATTTCTTCATACCATCAATAGGAGTGGGCGGCGCAAGAGCAGCGGCAGCGTGTAGAAAGCACAGAGAAATCAAGAAAACTACTTTCAACGCCATTTTCGGACAGCAAGACAGTGAGAGAGCTAGGTTTTTCAGGACAAAGTTAGCATCTCTGTTTGCATTTATTTATACAAATGTGTGTGTGAAAGTTGTGAAGAACAATAATGCATGTGGGGAAAGGCAGTGGGAAGAGAATTTTGTCGGCTTCTCTGTAAAAGTATTATCTGTTTTGAATTCAAAATTCTTTCAACTTTGACCCTTTTCCTCCTTCATCTACTAATTTCCTTCGCCATCCGTTTTATTACGTGTGTCCTAATTATATCATTTTTTTATATGCTATAATTAGTTTTGCTTTTGTTGGATTCCAAATTTCCAATTAGTGATGTCTAGAAGAGTGCTAGTCTACGACAACTCATAAATGAGGATTTGCCGGTGTTTTGAAATGGTAATATGTTGAATAATGGTGGATTAAATAGTTAATTGGACTTCCATTCATACAACTTTTAAAAATGATAAAATATTTAATTCATTTAAATTATCGAAAATTTTTACTTAAATCCCCTTCCCACTTTCAACTTTCAATTCAATTCCTCCTCTAATTTTTTCCTCTGCACTCTCCACCCCTAATTTGCTCTTTCCATTTCACTCCCCATATATAAGGTAAACTTTTTATTATTCATTTATTTTTTTCATGAATTCATTTTGAAGTCTTTTTCTCTCTCTCTCTCACCATTCTCTTCTCTCTCTATCTTCCATTGAAATCTGCTCTCTCTCTTCGAATTTTCGTCGCCAACTCTGCTCTCACTCTCTCCGTTCGTTCGTCGCCGTCGCCAGTGGCTTTCTGCTTTCTCTCTCTCTCTGTTCGTTCATCACCATCGCTCGCTCTCTCTCTGTCACGCGCCATTCGCATCTTTGTGAAGAAATGGCCGGCTCCAAAAAGAAATCTTCATGCAAACCGTCCTCCTCTACACCCACGAAGGCATCACTAAGCTCAAAGGTAATTTTTGATTTTTTGGGCTTTGTTCCTAATTTTAGGGTTTTTTTTTCAATTTAGGGATTGAATTTGAAAATTACGGTTTTTTTCAATTTAGGGCTTGAATTCGAAATTAGGGTCTATAACAGTAAGCAAGGTAAGATTTTGGAGATTTTTTTCAACAATTTTAAATTTTTTCTTGAATTCAAAATTTGGGGATTTTTTTAAAAAATTTGCATATTTTTTTGAATTCGAAAATTTTGCAAAATTTGGGATTTGGTTGATGCTAATGAACTTTGAATTTGATTTTTATTTCAACAATTAAGAATTTTATTATAAATTACAGCTCTTTGCATGTTTAGGGTTTATATGAATTATGGCTCAATTAGGGCTAAATTAGTTAAGCATCATCCAAATTTGTATAAATTAAGGCTCAATTAGTTAAGCATGTTCTGAATTTTATTTTTTATTTTTTAATTTTGTTTGAATTGTTTAGTGACTGTGTTGCTGTTTTGTTCTTTAATTGTGTTGCTAATTTGTTCTTTAATGGTGCTGTTGGTTTGGTTGAAATGGTGCTGTTGGTTTGGTTGAAATGGTGCTGTTGGTTTGGTTGAAATGGTGCTATTTTGTTTCTGTTGTTTGAAATTTTTGTTTGGTTTATTTGTTGTGATAGGGCACAGAATTAAGATGTCGATGTGCCCCTTCGTTCTTTAGAGATATAATGGACAGGACAGTTGTCGTGCTTTCTGACCGGCACAAGCAAGCTCTTCAAAAGAGTCCATTTTATCTTCTTTTTTTTTTAAATATGTCTGATATAGCGGTGTTACATAGTAGAGTGGAGGCCTTAATTAGCACATACAAGGCAGATGTGAATGCCTTTGTGGTAGGTTATAATGTGTCTCTTAATTTTGACCCCGCCGAGTTTTGTGTAACGATGGGGCTTCGATAGGGTGGTCTAAGCGTAGACTTAGACCTTAATTTAGAGTCGAAAGCCTTATTCGACGGCTGGGGTCGAGTAGGTAATAAACTGTTGAGAAGAAACCATGTTGTAGAGTTGTTAGAAAAGTTTGCTATTGATGAAGGTCGTGTAGACGACTTCATCAGAATGTATAGTTTGTTTGTTTTTAGTTGCATTTTGTTCCCTTGTTCGAGTTATTCCATCCCCAGGTTTCTTTACCCTTACGTAGAGGATGTGAGTCGAATTTCTGAGTACGCATGGAGAGATGCTACTCATAAATTCCTGGTTGCCGAGCTTATTCGCCATGGTGGATCGAGAGAACGATCCTACTTTGATGAATGTGTTGTTGGGATGATGCTATGTATATGTGTGTTTGAATTTCTTAATACAATAATATGAAATGGTGAGCTTGTTTACTTTTCAAATCATGTCTATGTGTGTAGGCTTGGTTGTACGAGCGTGTGCCTTCTCTGGGAAAACGGTCCACGCTCGAGATGATTCCCCGTCTATTTAGATGGAATGGGAGCTCGATGCCGTCTACATTTGAAGGGTCTTTATAGGCCCTTAAAAAAGTAATGCGGCATAAGGTAATTTATATAATTTTATAGTATTATGTGTTTTCTACTTCTTATTTTTATCTTTTTGGTTAATCGATATCGTACTTAAATCATTATGATTTGCTTTGCAGGTGTATTCGGTATCGCCTGTGGTTGCCGAGCGTGCTTTTGTGGAGCCCCAGGTTTTCTTTAATTTTGGTCGACATTAATTTATGTTTCACCATTAATATATTTTCATAGGTGCACGTAGCTGTAATTTATGTTCCCTTTAGTTTAATTTTTTTTTCTTTCATGTACAGGGGGGAACAACGTTGGAGACCCGTCTATTTGCCATGGTTTTTCAAGAGAATGAAGAACTGAGAAATAAAATTGATCTGTTGGAGAGCGAGTGGAAAGAAAAGAAAGAAGAAAAAGAAAAAGAGAAAGATGATGAGGAAAAAGTCGATGAGGAAAAAGCCGATGAGGGTGGTGATGGCTGTTTTGGGCCGAATGAGAGTGAGGAAAAAGAGAAGGAGAACAAGGAGGAAGAAAATGAGGAAAAAGAGGAGAAGAAGGAAGAGGGGAAAAAAGAAATGGAGGAAAAAGAGGAGGAGGAGGAGAGGGGGGAAAAAGAGATGGAGGAAAAAGAGGATGAAAAATGGGTTTTGGTAGTGTATGAGCATCAGGTTGAGGATAACCGAAAGGGGGAGGCTGAGGATGACCGAAAGGGGGAGGCTGAGGATGACCGAAAGGGGAATGCTGATGATGAAAATAATGATCTTGCTGATTTGAAAAAATTGGTTGACATGGTGGTGGAGTCGGCCGGTTTGGCGGGAGAGGAGAACCAAGAGGCCTCCTCCATGGTGAAGAGGGTGCGGGAGAGGAAAGGGAGGAAAAAAAAGGAAAAGCCGGTGAATTTTATGACCCTCCCGTCATCCGGTCCGAAAAGACAAAAGAAAAAAAAAAGTTGCAGTTTACTGATGATGTGGTAATTAAACTATCTATTTTATTTATGTGATTGATGTTGTAATTTATGTTATTGTTCGTGTTGTTTTCATTTAACTAACCAATTATTTTGTAATGTAGGAGATTGACGAGAATGATCCTGATGAGTCACCTTTGATTGAGTTTAGAGGGAGGAAAGACTTCTACGGTCATGAGGATGAGACCTTGCAGGAAGAGGATCATGCAGCCATCTTATCATTCTTGACGAGCGATCGCCTGAGGTAACAGAAATTTTTATTTCAGTTTCTTGATTGTTTCATTCCTGTTATATTGTCCTAATTAGAATTGCAAATTTTGGTAGCAAAATCATGTGGAGCAATGACCGAGTGGTGGTCCGAGGAAAATTATTGATTGATCTTTTGTTCGGCAACGAGTTGAATTCTGAACTCGTTGATTGCTATATGTCGATCCTGCGTGGCTGCTATCCCCATGTCCGATTTTTGCCGACATATGTTCAGGTACTTTATCTTAATATACTCTATTAAATTTATTAATTGTTAATTTGCTAACAGAAGTTATTGAATTTGTAGACTAATTTGGTGAGTGCAATCCAAACAGTTAACAAAAGAACTGTTTGGAAATATGAGGATTATGAGAAGTGTATTTCTAGCCTTAACAAAAGTGTTGTTGCCATTATTGATGAGGTGTTGATGTCCTTGAATGGTGCCAAGTATGTTTTCCTTCCCGTGCTGCAGAAGTTTCACTTCTTCTTACTTGTCCTTAAAGTTCAAGAAAAGAAGATTGTGTACCACAACTCTATGGACACTCCGATTTATCGAGGGATTGGGAAGAGCTTGGTAAGTGTTATTATAACATATAAAACTTTGTTTTGTATTGATGATTTTCTTTCGAATAAACGTATTTTGTTGTTTTTTCCTTTTTTTTTTATGTGTAGGCCAAGTTCATAGCAGGTTATATGTATTTGAAGTTTGAATGGGCCATTGAAAAGGGTATTCAGTTTGGATACCTCAGGCAGCAGACGGGCGTGAAGGATTGTGGAGTGCACATATGCATGGATATGGAGTGCTACGCCGTCGATTCGGATGAATTCTCGAAGGACCAAAGTAGTTGTTCGATTGACGGCTATCGAGCACGCATGGCAGCACGCGTCCTAAGAAATCCTCCATGTTGACTGTCTTTTGGATGATGTTTGGATTATACTTTGAACAATATGTTTGTATGTTGGCTGTGAAGAAATTGACTGTGAATTTTGGGTTGGCTTGTGTGTTGTTTGGCTGTGAACAATAGATTGTCTGATGTTTGGCGATGGATATTGGGTTGGCTTGTCTGATGTTTGGCAGAACCTCATTTCTGTAAAACAGTACAGGTTTAGCTATAAATAATACCAGTACTTCTTCTATGCAGTACCAGTTTTTTATGAATTTGTACCTGCATTGTAGAAAGAAGAAAAAGTAATGGATTATTTCAATTTTGGTCAACTATTTCAAAATCAGTACCTGATGGGTCTACTTCTAGATCTGAAGAGAACCGGTGGATTTGAGCTCAGATATGCTTGAACCGCATCTGGATCGTTGCTAGACAGCGAGAATACCTACAAAAACTCACCGCTGGAGGTGTTTCCGGCGTAGAGCCTCCGATGCTCAAGTCAGTATCAGAGTGACGAAGGGATGCTGCGCAGCAGCTATGAGGGAGAGTGGAGAATGAATTAGAGTTAGGGTTTTAGGGTTACCTCATCTCCTTTATATAAGAGTGAATACTTACTTGAAGTACCCAGAATGCCCAAGTCGGTGGACCTAAAAGGTCCAAAATGCCCCGGTCGATTCGTATCCTCTTGTTGC